CAGGAAACAGTGCTTTGTATGTGTCTGAGATGAAGTAAACTCAGGCTACTTGTTATTTATTATCAGGCTGAGACTGTTTGTTGTTGTTGTAATAAAAATGTTTGTTTGTGTTTTGTTTTGTCATATCATGGCACTGTTCAGTCCCTGTCTTTTATATAAATTTTAATTCTAGAAACTTGCCTTTCTCACAAATATGTTGTTCTTAAGTTTTTGCAAGCTGTAAGTGTATGGCCAATTGTCTTATCATTATGATTATTGACTTGGTTCATTGGCATAATTAAAAACATATTAACATATGTTTTCTCATTAGCATTTTATTACAATGAGTATAGTTTTATTATAATTAATATAATTCATATGCTTGAAGGGATGGAGAGTTGAGATCAACTCCTTTATTAAACATTGGTCTAATTAACCTTTTGGGGACGAGTAAGGGACCAGTTGTCTCATTGGTTATTGGGCCTCATCCTCTATGGTCACCAGCTTCTGAGCTCTTCTTCTATCTGGTTATTAATTGAATCACTGATGCTTGTCAGTCTTTCCTGTTTTGGGCACAGTTTTTACTTTTTCCTTGTTAAACTTTATTTTATTCTATCTTGTTGATACAGTTATAGATCACTTACCAAAACCGAGTGAAATAAAGCTTAACGTATAGCATATGTATTTGACACATCTGCTTAAAATTTCAAAAATTATGTATAGCAATGCTTTCCCACTTTTTAAAATTAAAGGACAAGTAAACATAGCCCATCAGATCTATCTTTCCTTTGAGCCAACAACCACTTTTTGCCTCTCATTGTAAACTTCTATTATTTGAGTATCATTTAGAATGCGTTGAACTTTTAAGTTTCAAACTATTCCAATTAACACCTATATCCTGTTAGGCATGGTGGCTCAAGCATGTAATCCTAGCACTTTGGGAGGCTGAGGAGGGCAGATCACTTAAGCTCAGGAGTTCAAGACCAATCTGGGCAACATGGTGAAACCCTGTCTCTCCAAAAAGTACAAAACATTAGCAGGGTGTGGTGGCACATGCCTGTAGTCCCAGCTACTCAAGAGGCTGAGGTGGGAGGATCATTCGAGCACAGAAGGTCAAGGCTGCAGTGAGCAGAGACTGCACCACTGTACTCCAGCTTGGGTGGCTAAGTGAGACACTGTCTCAAACAACAACAACAAGAAACCCAATTATATTCATTTTTGCTATTTTGTTATTGCTCTATGACGCACAAAGTGTGCATCATTAGAATGCAAAGATCAGTTAACTTAATGTAGATCAGAATGCTCTATACAAAGGAACCATGCAAAGCATCATATAAAAAAGCAAAAGGGGGGAAAAAAGGAAAAAGAAAAGAAAATTTAAAAAGTCACACATTAAGTTTAATGCTTGAACTTTATTTTGGAGAGAAAATCTTAGAAAGATACAAGGTACACAGAGTGAAATATTTTTCTCTTTTCAGGACCTTGGATTGAATCTTGCACTGTTTTGGTTTCTATCTAGGAAGCTCAGCGACAGCAGAGTTTGTAGGTGCGGCCCTTGAATAAGCACTTCCCGGAGTGGAACTCAGGGGTATAACAACGGCCGGTTCGGCAATAGCAGGTGCGTCTCGCCTGAGAACCTGTGGAAAGAAGAGAGGGTCAGGCACAGGGAGGGAGGTGGGGAAAAGGATAGGCAGAGCCAGACTAACTGAGATAGTCTAAACAACAGACACTGTATCAGTCATGTTAGGATAGAGAAAATTCATGTCTTTGTCGTAAATGACAAGAAATCGTACTAGCTATGTGTTAGTCATGCAAGATCATAGTTCTTTCCCCATCTGAGTCCATCCAGGAAATGTTTATTACCTGCTCCCTGGTAAAACAATATACTTCTCAACCTCAGGGTTACCCACTCTTCATTCTGCTTAATCCATACCCCTAATCTTGACCTCCATGTATGATCTGCATGTCCTAACAAGGCTCCCTAATGCACCTGCATCCGTTTCTGAGATGCTGCATTGTGCACGCTCATGTTATGGACTCAAATACTTTGGTGCTCAAGGAGTCTTTGAAGACCTTCCAAATTCAAATTCTTCATTCTCTCTCTCTCTCTCTCTCTTTTTTTTTTAAACATTTTACTTATGTACTTATTTTAATTGACAAATAATAATTGTGTATATGTATGAGACAAAATATGATGTTTGGATCTAAGTACATATTATAGAAAGATTTAATCAAGCCCTTTAGCCTACATTGAAACACATCCATAGGTTCCTCTCTAGGTTCTAAAAGCTTTACCAATGGACAAAGTAAAATATTCTCTCCATAACTAAGTCTACCCATTCAGACCTACAAATACCTGGTCAGTATAGCTCTTTCTATCTTAAAAGTAGCAAATTTCACAGAAATATCTTGAAACTAAAAGTCTTAGAAGAAAGAAAATCTTTTAGATGTCTTCGGTTCTCACTGATTAATTTAGAGATGAGAAAATCAAGGTCCAGGAAGATTAAGTAAAGTCACTCAAGGGAGGTAGACTTTTCCACACTTGATACCAGAGCCTGTCTCCAATCCTTTTGTTCTAGATTTTGCAGATCTGCAAGATTGATGTCTCCTACCTGAGGCTCTAAGAGTAGAGAGTCCATTTTCTTCAAAGGAAACAGCAAGGTCCTGGTCGTCTTCCCCAGGCTGCTCCTGGGTTGCAGCCTCATCAGCTCTTTCCTGGAGTGACTCAGCCTGGGCCTGCAGGGCGAACAGGAGAATGGCAGCAAGGATGGCGAGCGTCCTCATGGCTGGGGTCACCTGGAGGAGGGAGAGCAGGTGTGGATGTGTGGAGAGTGAGGAGTGAGCCTGGATTTATAGCTTTGCTGGGAGAAGGCCTGAGACAGAAGCTGCAGTGAGAGGAGGTGGGCATCAGTGAGAGGAGGTGGGCATGTGATTGGGAGGGGAAGGGCTGCCTTCGCCCTCAAGATTCCTTTGATGCTCCTCTTTCTCCCGCCTTTCATCACAGAGTGAGTCTGTATGCTTAATGCCTCTTCTTGATCCAAGCTGTTAATGATGATAAGGGCATTACTATCCTGTCCTGTTTCCCATCTGCTTGAGTATTTACTTTTATATATTCAGACAAGAAAAGTAACAGTGCTTTCATTCAATAAATGTGGGGATCAAATGCCTCTTGTTTTCCGAAGATGGTCCCTGGTACTCTCTGAATGACTCTCTGGGGTCAGATCTGGTTCCCAGTGGAGTTGAGAGTTAATCCATTGCAGGATTCAGTGATATTATTAGCCTCATGTAGGAGGCTTTTGAGATCTTGAGGTGAGTAGTCTCCTGCCGGGGCCAGTGTGGACAGGACAATGACCTTATCAGCTATAGGGGAAATGAGTTCAGTAGACTAGTAGGCCAAGTTTATCAGATTAAAATCAAAATTCAGATTTAGTTCAAGAAGTTGGTGTGATCTGAATGCATCATATACAATGTGTAGCAGGTACTTCTCTCCACTTTGAGGAATATCAAAGTAATTTAGGTGCCTACAACCCCTTTCTGAGATCTTTTATTTTATTTTTATTATTTAGTTTTAGAAAATTTTAAATCATACACAAGGAACAACATTCAAAAGGTAGAAGAAGTAACAAGTTCTCATTTCTACCCCCAGGCCTTCAATTCTGACCCAGGAATCCATCACTATTAACAGTTATTCATAGTATTCTGTACTTTGCTTTTATCACCTGTATCATGGGCACTTTGTATATCTAAACACATGGAATGCTGTTATAATTTTTAAGAGCCTTATACTATCCCAGGGTTTGTATATGCCATCACTTATTTTTTTCTATTGATAAAATATGATAAAATTAGTACAATTTGCTTATTCTTAAACTTTTGCAGTAATAAGTAAAGTTGCAGTGATTATCATGTATATATGTCCTCTTACCCATATGGATAAACTTATAGAAACAGAATTGCTGTGTCAAAGAATGCATCTTAAGCCAGTATGGTGGCACTTGCCTGTAGTTCTAGCTATTTGAGAGACTGAGGTGGGAGGATCATCAGAGTTCAATACCAGCCTGACAACATAGTGAGACCCCTTTCTCTTAAAAACAAAAAGAGACTATATCTTACCTATTCTTAAGATATTACTATGTATTTCTATAATATTACCATATTTGATACACATCCTTTGGTGCTCAGTAGGCCCTTGGAGAACCTCTACATTTGAATTCCTCATTTAATTTTTTTTCAAATTTGTTTATTTTTAATTGAAAAATAATTTTTGTGTATATTTGCAGGGTATGATGTGATGTTTGGATTGATAATCACATGGCAGAAACACTTCGGCTAATTCAGATAGCCATCACCTCACCAACTTAATTTTTTAAGGAGAATTACAAATCGAGTCCTTTAGCAGTTTGAAAGATACAATACATTACTCTTAACTGTAGTCACCTTGCAGTGCCATAGATCACTAAGACTCTCCAGCATAACTGAAACTTTGTACTCTTGGCTCAACATCTTCTCTTTTCCTATCCCTCCCTCTCACCCACCTCCAGCTTCTGATAACCACCTTTGTACTCCAGTTCCATAACATCGACATTTTAACATTCCATGTACAAGTGATAGCATACAGTATTTGTCTTTCTGTGCCTAGTTTATTTCATTTAGCACATTGTCCTCTGGTTCCAACCATGTTGTCATGAATGAAGAATTTCCTTCTTTGAGACAGAGTCTCGCTCTGTCACCCAGGCTGGAGTGCAGTGGCAGGATCCCGGCTCATTGTAACCTCTGCCTCCCGGGTTCACGCCATTCTCCTGCCTCAACCTCCCGAGTAGCTGGGACTACAGGCACCCACCACCACGCCCGGCTAATTTTTTGTATTTTTAGTAGAGACGGGGTTTCACCGTGTTAGCCAGGATGGTCTCGACCTCCTGACCTCGTGATCCGCCCTCCTGTGTTTCCGTTTTTTCTTTCTTTGCAGAGAAACTAATAGAGTGCATCTCCCACTTATTCTACCTCATGAAAATGAGAGGATCTCAATCAGATCTGTAATATCTATACTAATTATTTGAATTCGTGAATTAACAGGGAGACTGGGAGGGACTAATTTCCTGCATCAGTGATTCCAGCTTTCATGGCCCTTGTTTTACCCTGGTGGCCATTTAGCACCAGGTTTTAAACCATGTGTATTTGTACTGCTGCTCTGTTTCTCACTGGACATTGCTGAGTTTGCAGATAGCATTGCATGATTGCTTCCTAGCTGACATCTCTCTGGCATTGTCTCTCTGAATCTCTAGAAATGACTAAAGAAACAATTTGGAACATTTTTATTCCAGTTCTAACCTTTCTCCATGAATTCTGTCATGTGTTTGATCACCCAGAGTCGTCGTTAATTGGGGAACTTGGTATCTTCAGTCTCTCTTCATCCTTCTCTTACCCCAAAATTAATTGGGTGAGCAGGAAATTAGTCCCTCCCAGTCTCCCTGTTAATCCATGAATTCAAATAAATATTATAGATATTACAGATCTGATTCAGATCCTCTCATTTTCATAAGGCAGAATAAGTGGGAGATACACTCTGTTAGTTTCTCTGCAAAGAAAGAAAAAACGGAAACACATGTCAAACACCCCAACCTCTCCACTGTACTCTAAGGGTCTGTCTTCTCTCTCACTCTCTCAAGGCAATAGCATGACTTGACACTCTCTAATTTTGTAGGAGTCACTAAGAATAAAGACAGGAGTTTGGACTGGCACAAAGGTTTAGAAGCCCACACAATCTCACTTGTAATAACACTCAAAAATAAAATTCTTAGAAGTAAATTTAACCAAACAAGTGAAAGATCTGTACAGCAAAAACTATAAATATTGATGAATAAAACTGAAGAAGACACAAATAAATGGAAAATTATCTTGAGTTCATGGATTGGAAGAATTAATATTATTAAAATGTCTGTACTACCCAAAGTGATCTGTAGATCCTCATCAAAATTCCAACGCAATTTTTCACAGAAATTAAAAAAACACTAAAATTGGTATGAAATCAGAAATGACACCGAATAGCCAAAGCAATCTTGAGCAAAAATAACAAAGATAGAGGTATCATGCTCTCTGGTTTTAAAATGTA